GCGCACCGAGGATGCTTGGTGTTTCCTCCAAGGATTCTCCTTCTGTTGGACAAATGTGTGCCCAACCATAAGACGGTCATGCATGTTGGATGTTGGCTTTGCCCTCTCCACAGGGCTTGGTTGGTCAGATGGGGGTGGGTTGGAGGTGGTTATCCATGCATGCCCCATCCAATTCTGTTCCCGAGTCTTTGCCCATCAGAGGCTTCCCCCAGCTGTAAATGGGTGCCTGCTCGTTAGCTTTGGGTGGCTGGACACGATCCTTGCTGCAGCTCTCCCTTGCATGCTTTTGGCTCCAGAAACCCAAGTGCCTTAACCATGCAAGTCCAACGGGTTGTCTGGGCCTGAGTGGGTCTTTGACTTTTTATTGAGCTATGATCCCTAGAAAAATGTGCCAGCTCGGACAAGACCGTCACAGGCATCATGGAAGAGCTGAGACCGTTCTGGCTAAGGAAACTTCCCCAGATACCATCTGGTTCATAATGCTACAGACTCAGGGTAAGATACTGCATCCAGAGCTGAGACCACTGCCTTCAGCAGCATGGATGTTGGCTGGCTGGACATTATAGATGGGAACTGTCCTTTCCCAGCCTGGGAGATCCTGCCTCCTAATAAGAAGCCCTCCATACAAACTTACTTCATCAGGTTTTCAGTCTGGACAGCCTCGTGTGTCCTCCGTTCGAGTCAAGGCCTCTGTTTTGAAGGTCCTGGACTCTCTCTTGATATGCTCTATCCTTCACCTCCATCCCTTCGAAGTCAGCCTGACAGTCCTTTGTGTCACCTCCCTGTGCAGTCATGTTCCAGCTTCTCCTATCCCACAGTATCAGGTAGCTGGAAGAGTAATTGCATATCCCCTTTCTATGCGAGATCTCCCTACCAGGCTAGGAAGCATGTTCGTGACTCCTTTCAGCTCCTTCTGCGGTCCTTCTTCCACCTCCCGTCCTTACACCTTCAAACGGCCATTGCCTCGGCCAGCGGGGTCGGTGAGCTCCGCACGCTCGGGATTGATCCCGTCTTCCATGGAGACGGAGCATCGCTGAGGTCTCATCTTTGCTTGGACCTTGACTCTTCTTGCCCAAACCCTATTCTGGAGGAAATCTCCTCCTTCTAGGCATTTCAAAAGCTTTGTTTTATTGCTTTGGTCAAACAAATCCTGTTGTCTGCCTTCCTTTCTCTCCCCAGAGAATAACCATGCAGACTGGCCATTGCATAGCAGTCGGTTATCAAACAGACTCCTCTCCACATTGGTATGGCTGTCTCCACTAGCACAAGCTACTTTTTCCCTCCGTTCCCGTATCTTGGATGTATGCGTGGAGCAACTGCCCGACTTCGTTAAGTTCTCTCCTCTTAATTGAGCTCTGAGGCAAGATGCCGACTTCCAAAGGACAGTGCCCCAGCTTTGGGCTGTGGCTTGATAATCCACATGCATGTGCTTGGAGACCAAAGGGCTGGCTCGTTTATGGTACCAGCGGCTCTTTTGAGATGTAAGACACCAAGCTGTCTCCTTGTTGGGAGACTCATTTAGGATCCTGAGTTAGTCACTTTGCTTTTTGTGTCGGTCCTAGACATGGGATTGGGACATCACAGCTCATTTGTGGCCCTGCTATCACATACAACCTCTTTGGTTGCAAAGCGGATGGAGCTGGGCTGGTCTCAGTGGGGGCAGGTGACAGAAGGAGCAATGGGCTCCAGTTGCAGCAAGGAAAGTTAAGGTGGGATATTAGGGAAAACTTTCTCACCAGGGGGTAGTAAAACACTGCAACAGGTTATCCAGAGATGTGGTGGGAAGTTTGGAAGTTTTGCATCTTTGGAAGTTCTCCGTCCTTGGAGGTGTTGAAGACCTGGGTAGACCAAGCCTTGGCTGGGATGATGTAGTTGGGGCTGGCCCTGCTTGGAGCAGGGGGTTGGACTAAACGTGACCTCCTGAGGTCCCTTCAACCCCCATTTTCTATGATCCTATGCCTTGAACACAAGCACACCTCACGTGGGATCTGCATAGATAACCATGTCTTGGACTGCACTTGGGAAATGTTATTTCATGGTGGTGAACACGCTTGTGGACTTCAGCTACTGCTTATCTGACGAAGCATCCTGTAATCTCGACCATATGTATTGTAGGGCATGTGCTGTTGGACCACACCATTGATCTGCAGGGTCCTTTTGTAAGGGCTGATGCCCAGGAATGGAGAAGAAAGGGAAATTACACGTAAAGTATGTTGCCAACTAAGCCATGCCTCGCACAAAATGTCCTCCCTGTCCGTTCTGGATAATCGGTTTATGCCCCAGAGCATGAGAACTGGTTACCCCCATACTAGCTTGCATAATTGCAAATACTTTTGGCCATATCATGACTTGGCTTCATGAAGGGAGGGATGCATCAGCTGCTGCCCTTCACTCTGTGCCTTTTTGTCCCAGGCAGGCTGTCCCAAAAAGCATGAATAGCGGGTGATTTGCAGTCCTGATGCCTTGATGTTAAAATGCATTTCATGGGCAGTTGTGTCCCATAAATGTTTCAGCCTTTAAACCTCCGTGGAACTTATTAAGCATCATTTTTATATGCAAATTTCGCACGCACGTTCATTTTTCATACCTATAAAAAATGGGAAGAAGCCACCTGTCTCAAACACCACATAGTCTACTGTGTGTTTCATACCAGAAGCTGTCTTTTGCATTTCCTAATGCTGTTGCTATATGGATGTGTGATGTTCATTTTCAATAAACTTTTGCAACTTGGTTTATGTTGGGGATTTCCCCTCGCTGCCTGTCTCTCCTTTCATTTTCTATATGTTGTATAGCTTAACTTCAGTGCGTATGGGGGTATATCTTTGGTATCCGATTGTCATCTCGTGCCTGTATCTAGCCCTGTGAGAAGACAGTCAAGTCCTCCTAGTTAGGCCCACTGCACTTTTGAGGGTCTTGCCTGTCCACGCAGCCATAGAAAAATCTGTGCTACTAAAATGGGACTTTCCTTTAAATGCAACCCATCCCAAACTTTACACACCAGCTGTGGGCGAGTTGTTTTCTGCACAACTTGACTGCCTTGCCCATAATGACCCCCGCTGAGGTCTGCTACGGGGTCAGTCGTATGCCTTCTGGGCTTAAAAGCAAAGGGCTTTCACCCCCCAGTGTCCCAAGAGTTACTTCTTGGGTTCACGTTATGCAGGGTGCATGGCTGGGACAAGCACCTAATGACTATGGCACACGTTTCTGGAGGGAGAGACGTGCATAACAGATATCCCAAAGTCTTCTGAGCCTTGGGGTCAGTGTAGGCCAGACCTTCGTGGCTGGCGTGTGCTTTTAAAAATGCAATGTGGGATCTGAATCTGTAGCCTGCCTGGAAACGTTGGGTCTGAGCTCCGTGGTTGGGTTTCATTTTCCCTGGGGAGCTGCACCTATTGCTTAACACCGATCAGAAACCTTTTCCATTTCCTCGCCTCTTGCAAAGCCTGTTGGATTTTATCTGTCCCATCTGCACCCCCAAAGTGCAATCTGCGCCCTTCCCTTGCTCTGATAATTGTGCAATTAGTCAGCTGCCCCCAGGGACTTGGATCCAGTGCCCGATTCGCCTGTTTTCTCCACCCAGCCCAGCAAGACTCAGGCAGGTGGTGTTGAGTCTCACCATTGCGTGCAGCTAGCCTCTCAAACCGGCCAGAAACTTCAGTTGTTGCTGGGGACAAGGTGAAGTCTGTAGTTGGGAATGGTTCAGGAGGCCCTTGCACCCTTTACACACAAGGAAAGCCAGCTCCCAGGAATCCAGTTCAACCAGACGTGCAGAAGATGAGCCAGTTTCCTTGCAGCCATGCAGCAAAAACACCCGTAGGCATTAACCCTGTACCTGTTGGGGTGCAAAACATTCGCTCAGGCTCTGTGACTGCCGGGCAAGGAGCGCTGTATGGAGATCATCCTTTTCGGGAAGCTCAGGAGCGCATCCTGCTCCAGCCGTCGAGGGGGAGAGACATGCAGCGCGCTGCCAGTTGCACCGTTAGAGCAGCTCAATGACCCGTTTTCTGCATATCCCAAATAATGCCGCGGCGGTAACGCGATCCGGAGACCGGGCTGCCATTCATAAGCCGTCTGGTCTGCGTGCTTGTGCTCTTCCCAGCTGGATCGCTGCCTTGTAAGCAGTCTGGGGTGGAAGGGAGAAGGGTCTCATGAGCCCCTCTCCTTCCGGCCAGGTCTGTAACTGAGAAGGGTGCTATTGCTGGACCGAGCGGGGTCAGCTCGGATTGGAGAATCGATGCAAAGAGAAAGCTGCTGGCTTCATTTGACTTGGCTTTACACAGTGGCAGTTCAAGGCTGGTATTTTTCAGAGGAGCCTAAGGGATTTGAACACCCAGTCTGCATTCAAATAAGCCAGTTTTGTGCAGGTAATCCCTTAGAAAGCCTCAAAAAAATTCTTGGTCTTTGCACACACATCGGAAGTGCTCACAGGCTTTTCTGGTCCGTACGAGTACCTGGAAAGGGACAATCAGCCTCATTCTCCAAACCCTCGGGAGAGTCTTAGAGAAGCCGGTATCATAATGGTGGTACCCAACCATGAAGACTTAAAACACCCACAGGGAGCTATTAGCCACAATAAAAATCTCTCAAAATACCCTTTTTGTAAAACTGATTTTGTGAGCCCAAAGGCGAGTGTTTGCACCAAAAAAAAAAAGTTTGTTTGGAAGAAAATTTCCAATTTTGCATCCCAGCCTTTAAAATGCTCTCCTGTTTTCTTAAATGAAAGCCTGAAATGCTGGATCCAGAAATGAAACAGGTTGGTTTTCTGGGTTGTTTTTGATGAGATCTCAGGTACTGTGGGGAGAGGGAAGGGCTGGCTTTTTCAATTTGCCATAAAAAGGGTATTGCTGAAGAGCTCTGGGAATGAGTCTCCTGGTGTCTGTGGTTAGGGGGGTGTGGGCACCCCTTCCTCTCCCTGCCCGCAGAGCCACGAATGCCCTGGCCACTCCTGCTCCGAAACGGCAGCGTTGTCCCTTGCTATAACCTCTCTTTCTGTTTCCCAGGAGCTCCATGCAGTCCCAGTCGACTTACGGCTCCAGCTCGCCGCCGCTCAGCAAGATGAACAGCATGAACAAGCTGCCGTCAGTCAGCCAGCTCATCAACCCCCAGCAGCGCAACGCCCTGACCCCCACCACCATCCCCGACGGCATGGGAGGCAACAGTAAGCTCCTTCTCTTGCAGGTCCCTGTTTGCAGGCATGCAAAGCCTCCGCTGCACCGTGGGATAAGAGCAGGGAGATGGGTGAGAGCAAGGGGCAGCAGTGGATGGCACGGGGGGGCGGTGGGACCTGGGAATAAGATGCCACGCAGGGGCATGGGAAATGACTAGGCAAGTTATCCATCTTCCTCATTCTCGTGGAGTCCCTTCCCAGCTGTCATAGCATGGCCACGAGCCTGGGCATCGCCTGGAGTGGTCCTCAGCCAAGCAGGAGTCCACCCCCAGCTCGAGGTGGAGGTGCATGGGGGAAGGCATGAACTGCTCTCCTTGCCCTGTAGAAAGCACTTGCATCTCTAGGGCTGTCAGCAGCACAATAATGCTACAGCCAAGTCAGACTCCTCGAAGGCAGCGATAGCGCCCTGAGCTGGGTACCGGGAAGGATGCCTTCTGCCCCAGCTTTGCACACGTTCCCGTGTGCCCTGGAGCAAAACAAGCGCGCTGCGCTGTCTGCTTGTTGCCCGTCTGATTTGTAGGGGAAAGCATGAACATCCCTCTTTGGCAAAAGCTGTCTAGCAAAACCCCTCCTTGCTTTTAAACAAAACCAGTGCCATGGAGGGTCTCCAACCTGCTCCCCCCACTCGAACCCGCAGCTGTTCCCAGCCTCCTGGGGGCACTCGGGGCCTCTGCAAAACCAGGCTGGGAATTGGGTTACCGCGCTGCCCGTGTTTTGGCAGCAAAGACAGCGGCGAGGGCTGAAGTTTGCTTAGGTTTGCACCTGGCCTGCTTGTGACGGAGGCTGGCTGGGCCGAGGGAGCATTGGGAAGGCGGTCTCCAGTTACCCTGGCCAGGAAAGACGGCGTCTCGAGGGCTATCGTTTCTCGAGGCCCGAGATAATCGGGGGGGAGGGAGAGGGATGGAGCACAATGCTTGCGACGTCCTCTGAAGAGTTTGGGTCTCTGCCCCCGTGGGGCTGGGCTGGGAGACCTGGAGCTCCCGCGTAACGACCGGCTCCTCCTTCCATCCAGTTCCGATGATGGGCGCCCACATGGCGATGACCGGCGACATGAACGGCCTCAGCCCCACGCAGGGCCTGCCTCCCCCGCTCTCCATGCCTTCAACGTCTCACTGCACCCCCCCTCCTCCCTACCCCTCCGACTGCAGCATCGTCAGGTGAGTGGGAGCCGGATTCGCACGAAAAAATCATGCCTTTCCCTGGGGCGCTGGAAGCCAACCGGGTTTGATGCGCTCGCTGTTTGCCCGGCCACACCAGCACCCCGAGGCTTTGCAAGCAGGAATCGATCTTGCCACCCCCAGCTGTGAGTTGTTACCCCCGTGTAGAAGTGAAGAGCCTCGCCAAGCGGCAAGTCCGCGGGAGTTGAGGGTACCCGGTCCTACGGGAGCTGCTGATGGCGTGAGAACCAAGGTGTCTCGACGTGGTGCTGCTGCCTGTCCTAACCCATTGGCCCCTGCTCACGAGGAAGGGCAGATAGGTTGTTCTGGTGTTTGCATACGTGGAATAAGATTTAAACATTGGATTTCCCAAAGGGAGGTGCTTCGGTTTTGATGCCTATGCCACCCTCCCAGCCTCTCTCTGCTAAAAATAAACCGCGGTGCCCAGGCTGGCGGCGTGCAAGGCGCAGCCTCCCAGACCTGGTTGCTGAGTGTTCGGTTTGTCTGCGTTGGGCTATTGCAGCCAGGGTGATCCTTTTTCTCTCTCTCTCTCCTTCCCTTCCCCCCTCCTCTGCAGCTTCTTAGCGAGGCTGGGCTGCTCATCCTGCGTGGATTATTTCACGACCCAGGGGCTGACCACCATCTATCAGATTGAGCATTACTCCATGGATGTAAGTAACCGTGTCACCCTTTTGTTTGCTTGCGCCCTGGCCCCCGCGGCCCCAGGCCGAGCGGGTCGCGACTCCCGGGCGACTCTGCACCGACGTGCAAGTGCAGCTAGTTTCCAACCAGCCTCTCCCCAAACCATGCCCCTCCGTTGGGGGTTCAGATGCCCGCGACTTGCACGCCCGCTGGTGTCCCCCGTGGCTGCCTGACAGTGGTGTGCGATTTTCTGGCCCTCGTTTCACCCCTTGCTTCAGTGATTTTCCTCTGGGTGCTCGCTCTCTGCCCTCTGGTCTTCTCCCGCATGGCTCGTTGCACGGGCCCGCTTCCTCCTGCCCTGCTCCGGCTGCTGCGTCCCCGCCGGGGCTGGGCGCTCTCGCTTCTGCAGGCTGCGCTGCTTCTCTTCTCTCTGCCGCGGCTGGGAGAACCGATCCAAACTGAACACCGGCTAACCAGTCCGACCAGGGCACTTACTGGGGCAGGGCAGATCCACCCCACTCGTTAGCTAGCGAGCAAACCCAGTGATGCCTCATGAACTGGAGATGGTCCCTAATACCAGATGTTCAGACATGCACATCTGTCCCAAACCTCAGGGTGGTTCAGGGCAGGATGCTGAACTCACCGCTGGGTGCAATAGGCACCGTGCTGCGCGCTTCAGGTGGGAGCTCTTGTAGGGTCCAGAGCAAGGAGTGGTGGCAGGAGATGCTCCAGCGGCTCCTGGGTAATTAAGAGGGACCGGAGTTGCTCTGCAGTGCCGGAGCCAAAATCTCTCCTGTCCTCTTAAGCTCTGTCCTGCTAGGGACCGTCTTTAATTAACCCTCGTTTTAATACAAAGCAATCTTTCCAAACAAGTGGATTTCTAAGCCTCCAGGAAGGAGCACACAGGCCAGGTTTCTAGTGCCGTGCCCTTGAACTCATCTGCATTAAGGCTCTTCCATCAATGCCTTGCAGGCAGCATTGCATATGGGCATATTGAGGCATATTTCATGCCTACGGGCAATGCCGCCTGCAAGGCATTGATGGAAGAGCCTTAATGGCAGCTTGTGGAGGTCCCCCAGGTTGCTCTCGGGGCCCATGCATCTTGGGCACCTCCTGCCATGCTGCCTCTCGCTCGGTCCCAGCCGAAGCAGCCGCCCAGAGATGCAGCGTTTTTGCATTTCTGGTCGCACCCCAGGCTTATGGCCTTGTGCCATGAGGGTTGTCGGCTCCTGGATGGGATGAGAGGCAGCAGGGTCCCTCAATAGCAGATCTCTGGGTCTGTGCTGGTGTGCTGTTGTAAGCCCTTTTTTGCTCCGCAGGATCTGGTGAGCCTCAAGATCCCGGAGCAGTTTCGCCACGCCATCTGGAAAGGCATCCTGGACCACCGGCAGCTGCACGACTTCTCCTCCCCTCCCCACCTCCTGCGCACCCCGAGCGGCGCCTCCACCGTCAGCGTGGGCTCCAGCGAGACCCGTGGCGAGCGGGTCATCGACGCGGTGCGCTTCACGCTGCGCCAGACCATCTCCTTCCCGCCCCGCGACGAGTGGAACGACTTCAACTTCGACCTGGACGCCCGGCGCAACAAGCAGCAGCGCATCAAGGAGGAAGGGGAGTGAGCCCCTCACCCGGCCCCGGCGCAGGCTCCGTCCCCGCCCTGCCCACAAACTGCTTGGCCCTTCCCATCTCCCTCCGCTCCGTGCCGGACGCGGGGAGAAGAGCCGAGAAAGACCCCCTTTCCCTGCCGTGCTAGCTGTGCCCTCTTTTCATCCCATCGAGGTCATGCCCCTCACCCCGCAGCCTCCCTGCTGGGAGAAGGAGACGAGCAAGGTGCCTGGGGTGGGTAGGAAGCACTTGGTCTTTCCTCCAATGCAGCCGGCCTTGACGAGCAGCGTTTTCTTTGGGGCTTTTCTCTTGGCTTCGGCACCTTGACCTGCACGGTGCTTCTCTCCGTGTCCGGGCATCTCTTTGCTTTGCTCCTCCTGCTGCAGAAAGAAGGTGATCCCTTTCGGCCTAGATGTCACTCGGGGTTGAACGTCTGCAGACGCAGGCGCCGGAGACCTCGTTAAACTAAACACTGTGTCCGGGTTGGGTTTCTCCCTAAATTGTTGCCCACTTGAGAGCGAAGCTGGAGGCTGAGGCTGTTGCCAGGCCTGCTTTGGTGATGCAATGGGGGGTGGATTTAGACCTGGTAGGGGGGGATACATTGCAGGCTGGAGGCCACTTTTTGGCTGAGCTAATGTAAGTCCAAGCCATATTCCCATGGACTTCACTAGGGTTGAACGTTTGCACCATCACAGCCCCACTTCACTTGGTTTCTCTCTCATCCTGCTGTTGCTGTGGGCTAGATCACCTGGGAAATGCTCCCAACCTCTGCCCGGGGACACGTGTTTAAAAGGTTCCCCATGACCCAGCACGTGTTACCGTTGCACGATGTCCCGGGTAGGGACACCCGGTGTCCATAGGATGCCTTGGACGCCCAGTGTCCTTGTTAGCTAGCAGCAGCAGTGGAGATGAGGAGTGCCTACTCCCATCCTGAAAACACCGCCGTGTCCAAAATGGAGGCATTTTCATGTATTTCTAATGGAAGGGAAGAAATCCAAGCGGAGGGACCGAGCTCTCAGCCTGGCTGCTTGCAAGCAGGCCTGCTTCTAGAGCCAGCCAGCATTTTGATATGGGCCAAGTCCTGCCAAGGCAGCTCCTAAATGAGTTGCATCCCTGCCTAGCCCACCACTCACTGTCTTAATGCACTGACCCCCTGCTTGGCACCGCGGGGCTGTCTTCCCTTTACGCGTGGCCATCCTTCTCCGCCTGTCTGCCTATTGAATAAGGGCCCTGCTGCCTTCAGCAAGCACGCCTCCACCTGCAAGCCTATTTTCACCAGCTCTGCAAGGCCATTTCCCTGTATATAAGTTTGTATATAGATAATTTTTTGTATGTGGTCATCTGAAGCATTCTTGTGCTGATTTGGTTTTGTTTGTTTTTTTTACTTCCTCTTGGGTGACCAGGGTACCAGAACCACGAAAAGGTGTTTTTCATTTCGTTTAATTATTTTGATGCCAAGCGCTTGCAGTGTATGCCTTGTAACAAAGGGCATGCCACTGGGCAGCGCCATCATTTGTATTTTCCTAGGGAGATTCCTGCATTAGGTTTGATGCCCTTGGGAGGAAGGGGCTGAAACCTCGTCCTTTTGTTTCCTAACACTTCAAATCCGAGCGTCCTAGATTTCAAGCTATTTTGTGCATTCAGTTTGAAAGCTTTTGAGCTTTTTTTGGGGGGGGGGGCGGATTTTTGTGCACCGGACAGCAGAGAAGGGAGACTTCCTGCTGGTGACTTGGTGCAAGAGTGACCCCGGAGGTTGCGTGTTGAGGAGAGGGTTAGTCTAACTAACGGGCTAGTCCTGAGGGGGATGAAGCATGTTCTGCCCTCTTCACCTCCATGGTTTTGCAGCCACACTGGATAATTTCTTCTGAGCAGCTTCAGTATTGTACAAAACCTGCCTCCAGTGCCATTTAGGACCTAGAAAGCTTGCAACTAGCAAAGACGGCGCCCAGTGTCTGGGCACGCAAGACGTCTTCCGCACTGCCTTCGTAGCCCAGCCGTGAGCCTGGGCCATTGACCTACTGGATCATCCAACATTTGAGATGTATAATGTGAACAGCCCTCTCTGTGTATCTGCTGTGTATCACTATGGAGCCCGCCTCTGTCTATCCCGACTCTTCAGTGAGTTAGACCTGCTGTAGCTTTTCCCCTCCTGTGATTTGATTATTGTTGTTGTTGATGGTTTCTCTGTTTCGATAGATCAAAGCATGTGGGTTAATTGAGCTGATAATCTACCAAGTGCTTGTAGTCATCCAGTGTTGCCTTATCTCAAAGGGCTTGTGTGCTTTGGAGAACCCTGTTGATGAAACCAATGCAATAAAAGGATGCTCAGGGTTGAGTACCGCCCACCTTTCAGCTCCTGATTGTGATTATTATGATTTTTTTTTTTCAACCTCGGTTGGAAACCTCTGACCGGATCTCACCTGTTTACCCTGGGCTGAGATTAATAATTTGTTTGGTGACGGCTTCCAGCCTTAAACTGATGCACATTGCTTGTCATCACTCTTCTTTGAGTTTTTTTCTCCCAAGCTACCCCACGCCTCTCATGCCAGAAGTCCTGTGGGACCCTCCTCCTCCACCAGGTTGGAGGAAAGGATGCTTCCCAAGACCGGCAAAGCCATCTCCGTTGCTGAGAGAGGAGGTCTGCCTCGCTTCTCCATGTTATTTGGGTTTCTAGCGCTGGTAGCATAGATTGAGCTGCCACAGACCCTCCTCACCGAGCGAGGCTGGCTCTCAGGCTGCCAAGCCAGCGGTTCCTCGGCATGGCATGGGGATTGCTCCCTTGCTCGGGTGAAGGTACCCAGGTGCATGTTGAGCTGATCCATCAAAAATATAGACACGTTGGGTGACTGCCGGCCTCCACATGACAGTGAGCAAGCAAACACGATGCTTCACCCCAGTGTCGATTCCCCGGGCGACCCACGGCCACCCATCGGCAGGAGTCTGCAGGGCCTGGAAGGGGCACGCGGCCAGCAGGCTCATCCTTAAGAGCACATGAGACGGGGAGAAGTCTGCAGCTTTCCCCTCTCAGCCTCCTTCTCCAGACCCAGCAGGCATGACCCTACTCAGGACAATACAAGTACAGCTGTGCCTGTATAAGACCCGTCAGGGTATCCCTGGGCATCACTTGACTTGATACCACATTATCATCTACCTGACCCCTTCCCAGTTTCATTGCACAGATGTTAAAGACCATCGTTTCTTTTTAACGGGCTTGATGCTCCACCGGTCAAGCCAGCCTTCCTCTTGCTGCTGTCTGTGTGTTGCTCCTGGTCACGTAGCTCCTATTTCACAGCCTTGTTTTTAACTCGTTCCAATGCAGTGCTGTTTGTTGATGCACCCCAGGGTCATTCCCTGCAAGTGTGTCCCTCCCCTGAAGCTATTCCATGCCCTAAGCACTTTCCCTGGGAAGGCAGGTGGGGAAGGTGATGTTCTGCCTAAGTCCAAGTGGCTGGTACCTTAAAGCAGTGATTCTCAGCATGTTGGGGTGCTATGAGATGTTTTTAAGGCAGTTGTGGGGTGTTATACTATATGAGCACTGTTAGGTGTGCAGCCATCCATGTGCGTTTCAGGGGAGAAACCCAGAGATTGCAAAGGGAGTACGTTTGGCCCTGCTTTGGGCCTCCCATAGTCAAAAAATGTCATAGATTTCATAGACATTAGGGCTGGAAGGGACCTCGGAAGATCATCGAGTCCAGCCCCCTGCCCAAATAATTGAGAGGAAGCTGAGAGCTGGCATTTTCCAAGGGGTGCCTTGAATATGGGTATTTCTCTGCCTCCTCTTTTCCACCTCCCTGTATTTCCCATCCACTCCCTTAGCTTAGAAGATGAGCATCTCTTGGTGGGGGGGCCCAAATCTGGCCTGCTTAGGCTGTGCATCTAAATGGGCAAACCCTGTCCTAAGCAGGTCACCTCTGGGCTGATGTTACCCTCCGTGCTGCAAGGCTCAGCTCCTCTTCCCGGGGGCTGAGGATCCTTTGCTGTGACTTGGCTGAGCCTGGCACACCCCTGGCGCATGGGTGTTACCTGTCCTGTGCCACGTGTGGGGGAAAACAGCTCCTTTTGGCCTTGGCCCAACAGCTATACTTCCTCCTAGGATGCAGACGCAGCTCTTGAGAAATGTCAGCTTCTGGCTCCTGCTGCCGGCAGCAACCTGAGCATCTGACGGGGTCGTGGAGAGAGACTGGAGCAAGAGCAAGGTGGATCTAGGGGTGCGTTTTCCCTCGTCTTCAATTCCTGCTTAAAACCAACTGCTTGGCAATAATTTGACAGCACCAAGGGAGTCACTTGACTTGATACCACATTATCATCTACCTGACCCCTTCCCAGTTTCATTGCACAGATGTTAAAGACCCTCATTTCTTTTTAACGGGCTCGATGCTCCACCGGTCAAGCCAGCCTTCCTCCTGCCATGCTGCTGCCTGTTCACTGCTGGCCATGTAGCTCCTATGCCGCAGCCCTGTTGTTAACTTATTCCATGCAGTGCTATTTCTTTGGGCTTCAGTCTTAACCCACAATTCTAGCTGACGAGGGGTTTCTAACTTGGGGCTCTTAGGAATAAGTTGACCCTTTCGGCACACAGCATGCATGAATTGCAAAGGCTGAATGCCAGCTGCTGGGCTGCCTAGAAAGGGGATTTGCAATGCATCAGTCTCGGACAGAGGCTTTAACCCAGCCCCTGCTGCAGGGGGGCTTCCCTGTGCCCCTATGTTCGGCTTGCAGATGCGTGGGATCTGTGCACTGGGAGCAGTGAAAGCATTGCCTCCTGGCTTCGGGTGGAAATAATCCCCCGCAGCCCCAGTTCACTCCGTGTGAGAGGGTGTGCAAAGGTGTCTCCAGGGGGAAAAAAAAGCACAGCCAACCCTGAGCTGCTCCACAGGCGAGAAGTCAGCGTGCCTCTGAGCCCTGAGCTGCAGCCTGGGGATGCTCGTGGCTGCTTTGCTGGGCAGCGAGTGCCCTCTGGTGGAACCGCAGCAGCCCCGAGTCCTGCCCGAGGACCACGGCACAATGCAGCTGGTGCCAAGGTGTCACATCAAGGGGGACCTGAATGCAACTGGCAGGGCAATGCATAAGCTGCATGGGTGGCTTGCCCCCGTGCAAAGCCTGCAGCACAGCTGGAAGCAGGGAACGCAGGAATGACTGATGGATCCCGGCACAGAGCAAGAATCCTGCTATCCGCAAGCTTTGGTGCGTGGTCTCCGGCTTCACGGTCAAGCACGTGCCAAGAGTGCTAGTGGCAGCTTTGAGCATAGGGATGGCAAGGTCAGGGCCCAGCACTAAGCCCCCCAGAAACCGTAGGCCCTTCAAAGCCAGGCTGTGTATCTTGTAGCTCATACCCCTGCTCAAGCAAAGATGCCTCATGGCTTCTGTGTCACGCTCTCTGCATGGCCCGGGGCATTTGGATCAACCAGTTGCAAGAGCTGCAGGGTGTCCTGGGCTGGATGGGCTCTTGTGATGGCTCCTGCCTCTGCAAAAGTCTGGCTCCTTGCACTTCCTTTGCTTGCCACCGCTTGCATTTTCCTCTTGCAGTCACGGGGAGGGGGTCCCTTAGGGCTGCATGCTCTCATGCTGATGCTGCCTCACTAAAGCAGCTCAGAAGCAAAAGGGCAGAAGCATCGCACCCCCTGGGTTGATGCCAGGCAAACTGCAGCAGCATTTTGCCTTCGCACTCTGCAGCTCTGACTGTTACTGTGCCCAGGTGGGTTAAATAATGCCCGCCCCAGCCTCAGGGATGCACCAATGCATTGCAGCCCTGCAGTGATTGCAGTCACTGTGCTCGCAGAGTGACTGTCCTCGCCAGCACCATCCCACCTGATGGCTGGTGTCAGGGTGCAGCCAACCCCCTGCTGAGTTAGGACCAGGTTTGGCACAATGCAAGGATTGATGGGATCCATCTGGAGCTGACGGCAGAGTAGGAGCCCTGCCCTCGAGGCTCTGCACCGTCTGAGAATGGTGCCACCTCATTGCAGCCGAGTGCAATAACTCCCACGCCACGGTGACTGTCTGGATGAGCAGCACCTTGGCTGGGGTTCCCAGGCTGGGTCTGGAAGCAGCCTGGTCTGCTGCCCGAGACTAGCCGTGCCCAGGGTCTCTTGGCTCTTCTGGCTGCTGTGGGCTATAGCAGTGCAGGGGCAACCAGGTTTTGGCATAAATTAGCCCTGCATGCTCCATGAGTGCCACTCTGATCCTTTTCCCCTGCCCGATCTGCTCTGCTTTCTGCTCCATACCCTGCACTTTCTGCCTGACCTGCCGCTCTGCTCTCTGTGTCCTGCCCCGTGCGCCCTTTCTGATCTGCAACTCTGCTTTCTGCTCCCTGCCCTATCTATTGCTGCGCTACCTGCCCCCTCCCCAATCTGTTGTGTGCTACATGCACTTGACACACATGTCACTGGTGCCTGCATCCATGCCCTGTGGCTGACCTTTAGATTGGGTCCCGAGGCGGTCTTCTCCAGCCAAATGCTTCAGGGTTGGTTGAAAATCATCCATCTATGCATGTGTGCACGTGTGGATGCATTTATGAATGCTTGCACAAAGGCAGTTGCTGTTTGGCATCTCTCTGTATAGTGCATTTGTAAATATTCAGCGGCCATAATGATCTTGTCAATGGAGGATACGTTTGTAAATGGAGGACTCGTTCCCTCCCAAAGCATGGCACAGGCATCGGTGGTATTCTCTGCGGTGGGCAGGTCATTCTTATTGAGATCCCTGTTTTATAGATGGGGAAACTGAGGCACAGAAGGCGAATTGCCCAAGGTGATGCATTGAGCCCATAGCAGACCCAGCAACAGCTCCGATGGCTTCCTGCTAACACAGGGGCCCATCGAGCAGGGTCTACATGCATCCCCGCCCCAGGGAACGGGGATCTTTGCATCCCCAGATAACCAGGGTGTTTGCTGGAGACGGACCACCAGCTGCATGGTGCATGCCCATAGGCCTCGAGGTGAGCCTGCCACCATCCCCTCTATGGGACCCAGGGCAGGCTTTGAACCTTCATTTCCAGGGCTTGGGTAAGACGGGTCACTGACTCAGCCAGTTCCCTTGAATTGCACAAATGCTGACGTTTCAAAATACCACGCCAGCGACTCTGGCCCATGGGCCTTTTCGTCCTTTGAGGTTTCTTGCGAGGCTTTTCTGCCCTCTGCTCTGTTCTGGGTTGAGGTGGAGCAGAGGGAGGCAGGTGGCACGTGGTGGCCCCACACGTGGGTGTACCTGGAGCTATGGGAAAAGCCCGATACGGTTCTCCCTGTTTTTGTAAGCCCCGGCCTGTCCCTGGGAAAGTGCCCTTTAAGGTCAGAAAACCTATGATCCTCTGAACCCACTGCCATGAACCACCCTTCCCCTCCC